CAACGTTTTTATTAAAAACGGCTGAGTTCAAACCGTTCGGGGAGAATGTGTCCACAGGATCCCTGAAGCTAGTAACTAACATCAACTGCGTTAGCATCAATCCTCAGCCGAGGGAGATTTCACAGGTCGCCCAGGGAGAAGAAATAGCAAGTAAGAACAGTGAAGTTATTGGCATGAAATAAGCTCCTCATCCTGTGTGGTTAGGTTAGTAGAGTTAATGTTGTTGCCGTGGCTGAATGGAAAGTGCGGCCTCTCGGAAACTACATTGTCAGGAGCATCCCCTCCCTACGACCCACGATTATCAAAAGTAGGAACACGGAAGGAATTCGTACAACCCAAGCAAAGAAAACCACCCAAAAATACACTAGCTGACTTAAAAGCCACTGGGTCATGTGTTTTCCTTAAAGGGTTCCCTTTGACCGGATCCCTATTCTACAGAATCTCTGTGATCGTCAGACCAAGATCCGTCATCCCAGCTTTAATCTATTCCCTTAGACTGTATTTTCTGCAAGCACTAAAAACTGAAGTCAGGAAAGATGTTTTCACCAATGACGGTGTTCCGGTTACTCAGTGTTAGGCAGTGTGGACTTGAATCTGGTGATTACTGTCATGCCTTCAGCTGATGACTAAAGGCAGGTCTCCGCGTGTTTCCTCGTCGATCTCATTCCCCCGATTTTAAATAAGAATCACCGTGGAATCAGATTCGGTTCTGGTCTATCTATTATGTTCAAGCGTTCAGTGGATCAACTACTGTCGACCGGTTTATTAATGCCCGATGCCAGCCAACCATTTCGGTTCAAGATTCCCTGCTTAGTACTATAATCCGAAGGTTGAAAACAAGAGGAATCAAGTGGCTAATGGAACATCGCCAAGTTATCCATTACCAAATTGGTGGTACGCTAATGGACTTCTCCGAAAATTCCGTATGGTGCTACGCTTGAGACTATGTAGTGTTACATATAATATAGAAGGAACTGGCAGATTACGCCAGTACATCAATGTGTCGTTGCTTGTTGTTGTTGTTGTGCCACTGCTATGCCACTTTATCTAGGTTAGCTGTTGACTTGCACTATGCCTATTCTTTATACTCGACGATCTTATTCACTTGGATCTGTATGTGGCCTAACATGTGGCTAGGTCGAAGCCACCTTACCAAATGCTTGTAAAGCTACAGTATCTTTACAATCATTGACGGCGTACCCCAACACGGAGTTGATATCTTCAAGATATTCTGTGTTCTCATACCGATTTGTGCACCCACCATTATAGATTGTGAGAAAATTGATGGAGACTTTTAAACATGTCTATAAATCTTGTATTTTTACAACTCTGTCGGAAGTAAAATAAGATCGTTTCCAATTCTGAGCACGACTCACTGTATTCCATCAAAACAAATGTGCAAGCGGTTGGAAGGCTTAGAAAATGTCGTTTAAGCATGACCGTGGACACTTGACTACTTACCCAAACAAGCCACTGGTCCAAACCGACACCTCAGATGCATTCGGCTCACGAAAAATATGGTCACGTGAGAACCTTAGTTGCTACCAATAGGAATAATTTACACTCGTTTTCCTTGAACAGTGCACGCAGGCGACGCAGTAAAGTTCTATGCAGGAAAGTTTGTGATATTAAACGACACCTGGTCGGCTATCGTATCTTGGGCATCTGGGACTGCATCTACCCATCGATTTTGTCTTTCTGGAGCACCTTACATATGCCACAACTAAGTATCCCGTTTCGGTTATATGACTATTCTCGCCATCTCGCCTAGTTATGCAGGTGATCTTGTGGATTGCTCAGATATTTCGGACACGCGTTCCGATGAGCATTTTTGAATCACAAGATGAATGGATAGAACAGTTATCGAAAAAACTAATTGGAGCACATCTAGTTTGGACCAACTGTTTCGACAAAGCTTTGTAAGGTACATGACGCCTAGTAAATCCAAATTTCCTTTGATTCAGGTAGGCTTGGAGGATACTTCCAAACTTAGTCTGATTATTTTTATCTAACCAACAGTCTTGCCGTAAACAATCAACCCCAAATCAACAAGTAAAATTTTTGTTCACTTTGAATGCGCAAACTTTTTCTAACACGTTTTCTCTCTACGTGACCGTACCTTACCGCCAAGCGTGTTAGAGTGAAGCATCCTCCCATCACTTTTCTGTCCCTCTTTCGCTTCCAGCTGACCAATCAGACGGGAACAAATTGAATATTCCGCTGAAATGTCTCCCAAGGGACTGAAAGTGTGTCACCGGACGAGTTGGCTGCCCCACTGACTGTGGACAGTCTCACAAGCGCACAAACTCACCCAACTCTCTTAGAGTGTTCGATAGAATTCCAAAGCCAGGAAAGCGAGTCAATTAGTTTTAAGAATGATCCTACCAATGTACGTGTCTCTGCTTATGGGTGGAACAACAGAACCCGTTGTGTTTACCTATCGCGCCCATCTTTTCGTCCCTGTTGTGCTCTTTTGGAGTGAGTGATAATAGGTGTGCGCGCTGGATCACGAAAACGTGTGGTCGAGAGCGAACGGTACCAGGCTCACGTCTGTCTCTCGGTGTGTGTGCGTATGTGTGCGGTCGAGTACGAGTGAAGGCATAGAGGGGGTTGAACGGGATGGGCAACCGTCTGTGACCAAGCCTCTTTCGCGCGCCACCACCACAAAACGATGACCTGATAGCAAACTAATTCTAGCGTTATTCCAACAGACCGTATGCTTCCAACGTATTGGTCACATCAAAAGATAGAGTCCCTCACCCCTCTAACTCTTTCCAGGGTGCGTCCAATCCACCTCACATTCCCATCGGGCCTGTTGAGCTGTTCGACTTTTCCAATAACAACAAAACACTGGCCAGACATGTTGGAAGTGAATCGATTTCTTTTCGCCTACTTGCTTAGTTGCTTCGTCGGTTGACGGCCCCACTAGGTATTCATTTCCCAACAGAGTCCTAGTCCCGAAGGAACCGTACTCAGTGTTCAGAAAACCGACACACGGAGACAGAAAACGCGCGCGCGCCCTGGAAAGCGAACGGACGAACTGAGGAAACGCTTTTCAGTCTCCAAGGGTTTGAGTGTGTCGGTTCCACGACAGTTTCCTCAAGCTGCCAAAGTTATCACTCCCATCGTTTCCAGTTTTCTTTCTCATCGATTGAGACTTGTCCCCAGGGGCCCCGTGAAGTGGGTTGTACAAGTGAAACACCCCACGCTCCTGTGGTTCCGTGTGCACTTGCCCGAGACTGGTTGGCTACGACTGCGGGGAATTATTTAACTGGAGAATTGCTCCCCAGATTCCTATCGTTTGGGCTGCACTGTCCCCGAGGGACCCAAAAGTTACTACCCCCGAGTGACAGACGGTCAACAGAACGCACGCATTTTTCTTCATTTTTCCCCAGTGGACAAATTAAGAATCAGCTGCAACGTCAATTCTCATAGGATCAAGAGGTAAGTTGGTTGCCATCGATTATTTTTGGAATTCAACAACGAGGACGGAACAAGTGGCGTTTAGGAACTAATAAGTTGAGTTGCATATCTATTTAAAAATAGTGGTTATATATTTTCCTTCGGTAAAATAACAATACAGAAGATATGGTAGTGCGAGGAAGAGAATGACTGAACTTGTACCGACACGTTTCTTGTGCCAGAGCGATACGTCCGTTGGTAGTCAGGTAATCCGGCATCCTTTCATCCTTGGAAGCTTGCACTCTCAAAGATTTCCGTTCACATTGCTAACGCCACTAAAGATTGTATCAGAATCCCACCACAGACAGTCAAATTGGAAACCTAGGACAGTAAGAATAAAGCTATGAGGAATTTTAATTGTTCCACTTGGTTGCCTGATTCACGAATGCCTAATAATTAAACAGACTTGAAGACTAACAGTGAATTGGAAGTGGATCGCAGTTTCCAACCTTTAAGGGTTTCACATTTTTGACTGATTAGTGGTTCTTTTGAAGCCTAAGTATCAATATCAAGCAAGTGGCAACCCTATAGAGTGTGGGCTACTTAGGTTTTGTTATACCGTGCACCCAAGTTGACATTTTAGTCGCACTTGAACCCATTATTAAAGTACGTACTTTCCCAAAGGTAATGTCGACCTCAGAAGCTGACCTGATTCGCTCGAGAAAGCAGCGCTGCGTTGATTATTCACAGGGTACATGAGCTGCGGTACGTCTCAAACGGAAGACGCAATCTGATCCATAATTTGTCTGCACTTTAAGGTCTCGCCCCCATTGGAGAATATGAACATACGCCCATCTCCTGCTGACAGTTAACCGGAAAATGCTGAAATTCTATTACCACATTTGCTGTTTGGCTTGGACATTTTCGGTCTTCGCTGTTTTAATTTGTTCGAAAGCTTCAAAAAGAAAGGACTCGCTAGCTGTTTCTCAAACAAGCATGACAGTCTCCGAACTGTTACTCCACAAATCACCTCGTTGCTGAAAAACTCATCAGCTGGTGCCTAGTCTATGAAGATGATGGGTAAACAAGGCTGGCGTATCCAATACTGAAAATCCGCTGAACCGAATATTAGAATCTTTTGAGGGCACAATAACCTAAACAAGCTTTTGGAACAGTTTTTGACACGTGTCCTGATACGCACTGGCTAGTTCACCCTGAAAGTTTTACCTTGAAAGGTTCAGCGCTGGGCTTCGTCAGTGGAATGAGACAAAAATGAGGCATTCGAATCGTGGTTTATTAGGTCCCGAAAAGACGGTTACACCAAAGAGTTCATATTGTTTGTTGTTATTCACACCGGTTGTGGTTGGTTTTGAGGGATGTGAGAATAAATCGCTTTCTACAAAAAGAAACGCACATGCGCGTTTTTAACCGACTTAGTTGATTTTCTGGAGGGGACCTACTGAAAACGCGGCATCTTCGGTGAAAGAACAGAAAGTATAGAATCGCCCTTGAGTACCAATTTCAATCATAGCTGTAGGCTGCGGCCAGTTTACTGTAAAGTGTGGCGTGTTTTCATTCATTTTAGGCTATAGTTCAAGATGGAAAGCACACAGGATGATACGCCAGCGCATGCACAGAATTCCAGATCCCATTCCTACCTCTTCTCTCAACTTGGAAATACAAGAGAGTCTAATGACCTGTGTTCACCAAATGCGACCTCAGATCGCTCAGTGAGCGTGACCACCAATTTTCCGCTTATCCAAAATCAATACAACATGCCCGCCTACTTCCATTCGCGATCTTCAATGGCGGTTGGCGGAACGTCAACTGCTAATAACAGTTACCTGCCTCAGACCTCTCAGCTCGCAGCAGCCGCTGCAGTGGGAATGTTGCAAGCAAATGTGCCATGCTTAATGGACCGAGAATCTGAAGGACGACGCGAAGACTACGACATGCTCGTAGATCCCCTCAACCCAGCCAACCAATTTGGTCTCGTTCGGTCGTGGATCGCGCAGCAGCAGCAGCAGCATCACCAAGTTGCAGAGTGCTCGCCACCAGTGGACAATTTTTCAAATCTGTATACTCAAATCAGCTCCTGTGGATTTACCGGTGGACCGATCCCATCGTGTTTCAATCAACAACACAACGGATTTGCCCCTACTTTGCCCATATCTCCAACTGGGACACCGGTTCCTGCGATGGGACCGATGAGTGGCAAAGGAGTTGCGGCCTCATACTCGGTGGCCGCTCAGCACCTCAGTCAAATGGGCAGTCAGATGTTCGGTTCAATGGGCAACTCCGTTGGTTGCATATTTGATAATGCCGCAGTGGCCATGGCAACGGCACCTGTACCCTTTGGTCGTGGAAATAATCCTGGTATTTTCAATTCTGGACAGACGTCAGGTGTTCATCGGTGAGTTTGTTCTTGTGTAACCTCACGAAATTATTTCTTAGGTGAAAAGAAGTACTCCTTTGGAAATATTTTCGCATATGGTGCAGTCTTCTTGAGGTGTTACCTACTCCCATCAAATGAAGACTTGAAGTTATAAAGGTATCCTATCAGGGAATGGATAAGAAAAGTGGAGTGGTTGATGACTATAATTACCTTGTTAGTAAATTGTGGTCACACTAGATGTGACAACACGCACGATGGAGAAAAAAGTGGTCGAAGCAGGTCAAATCACTATTGTAAAATCACAACAGTGCGATGTGTCAGTGTTTTTGGCACACGTGGGATGGACTTAATGGAAATCCCTCCCGAAGTGATTTTAGTGCTTGTGTTCGAGTCTAAATTCATGATAGAAACTACCATTCGGTTAGTTAAGTGAAAATTATTTAAGATTCGCACGTCTATTGTAAATGCTAATGAAATTCATTCAGGACGTTTCATAAACTTTTTCCGGGAGGTTCCTTGAGCGGAAAACGCCATCCTAAAAGGCAAACGTGATTTCGGTGAACGATTACACCTTGATTGGATTTTGCTTCTATAAAGCACGTCGTCATAATTATAGGTTTCTGACGTCCTGCATCTTTTTTCTTCTTCACAAAACCGTTGATTATCGTGATCATCCGCGCGTATTTCACCTGCGTAGATCGTAGGAAGTGTTGCGGTGCAACGGACGCGTTTCACGTTGTCTCTAACGTGCAGATCCAAGGGTTGGGGTCTATGTGGGTCTTTCCAAGGGTGAGAAACGATACTATATAATTAAAAGATGGCTATCTTAGCGTTTCCTACTCTGTCCACCAGCGATGGAATCACACCTTGGTCAACTGGGCTAGTTACCGCCAGCACATGACTGACGCAACATTTCATATGCGCTCTGTTCGGAGCGATACTCCTGACTATTAAAACAAGAGGGTTAGATGGCATTCTTAAAAGTTAGCAGTTTGGAGTAGAGCAGGGAATTGTGCAGCCATTTTCAGGTTTCCGAATGTGACACAAGTCGTCACCTCGTACCTCCTAAGACAGTCAACTTATTGTGAGAACTACAAACTACTGTTCCAAATACTGCTCACCCACAGTCGGTGCGGCCTTATATCGGACGCTTAATCCCAGATGTCCTTATTTCGCTTCTAATTCGACAGGGATAGCCTTGAAAAAGGTACTGTCTAGAAGCAGGTATTGCTGTGCGACATGTAACCCATTGATGGTCCGAGTGGGCAGCAGGATCTATCGCTTATTTTGGAAAAAATTCACTCACTCTCCATACTGTGTTCCGAAAACAACCTCCAAGATTCTCCGCACTGGAAAATACCGTGTTTGATGAGTTGTAGGCATAAAAAACCGGAAGAAACGCTTCCGATGCTGT